TATTACTTACCTTTAAGTATTTTATCAAAAAATGTGTTTTTGAAACTTTTGAAGCAATAGTAAATCCAGTAAAATCAACCATTTGAAAGGGCGCATAGCCTAATCGTGACGTGAATTTGAGAATCTGTGCTGAGCTTTGTAATGGATGACCGGACGCGTAGCCACTGCGTAAATATTAAACTAAGGTAAACTGTGGTGTTTAGCTTAGTTTAATATTTAATGCACTCAAATATATATATCAGAAAGCATATGATCTAAAAATCAATGCCAGCTAAAACAAGGCTACAATGAATCAGCGCTAGTCAAAAGGAAGCAATGGGACTGTAAGCCTGGGCTTCAACAGTTCATGACAAAACCAGGAGGAAATAAACGACTTTGGCTTAAATTTGATGTGAGGGTTGGAAAACTGCAGTACATTGTGCATACAACTTTGAAAGGAATGCTCATTGTGTTTGTTTTGATTTAAACATAGCATGTATATTTAGAGAGCACGATCATTCTGTTTAGTTACTATTGTCAGCTAGCAGCATGGATAGTAACAGCTGTGGGTCGTACTACAGTTCGGTAAAAATTAATGACATTACCGTCTGATACAATTATATAATCGGTTTCTATTAAGAAAGCTATCTACCTTCTTTTTCAGGGTCTTCCATTGGATTCCCTTGTAGGTCAAGCCGTTCTTTGTAAATATTGTGGTCAACATCAATTTGTGTTTCTCCTGTGACATCCATTGCATCGATACTCAAAACTGGAATGAAATATCTTTATGATTAAACTAACATGTACATAAAACTAATACATAAGTAAATACATGAAAACACTAAACAAACTTTTAGTCTATTACATTAATTTACATAACATTAGATTAATCCAACTATTATATCCAAATATTAACATTCATGTAATCCATAGATCATAGTGTTTTTCATGTGCCGTTTTGTACGTATTTGTCTACTTACTACCCTAACCCTAAAATTTTCTATATGAAATATGTTGAAATATGGGCTACCACGCAAGTTATTTGTGTGAATTTGGTATATATATATAACTTTTTCTACAACTTCGAAGGTGCTAGCACTCTTTCATTTGGTTCAACAAGCCGTGTCATTCTCGTAAAACACAAATGGATCCGTTACTTTGACACATTTCGTATGACTCATGTCTCTGTGTTTTCGGCTGACTATACACTTTCGAATGTCTATGATGCACTGTTGCGATTTTTTTCCCAATTTTTTCCAATTTTTCCCGGATTTTTTCCCCTTTTCCGATTTTTCCCTTTTTTTTTATCGAAACTGGACTCGGACTCGGACTCGGGTGATGTGGACTCAGACTCGGAATCGGACTCGGACGGCGCGGACTCGGACTCGGACTCAGACTCGGGGGGTGCGGACTCGACTACAACACTGGTGGCTACGCGTCCGGTTACCGGACGCCCAGCTCCCAGGCTACGCCTATATCATCATTCTTTCTCATATATCTATCATCATCATATATATATATAGCTATATATATATAT